CCTCACACTGATTCATCCCTTCACTCGTTCACTTCACCTCACACTGATTCATCCCTTCACTCGTCTGTGGCCTGATGCAGTTTCTCCTCCTCCTCCTGTTTCCATTAAATCAATCACTCCTCTTTCTATTCATCTCTTTATTTATTACATCCATCTTCACTTTGATTCATCTGTTAATCCTTTGAATCATTCACCCAATATTCACTCAGTTTATCCTGACTCACTCATTACTATTCATTTAAATGTTGTTTAATTCATGAAGTCATTTATTTATCCATTCATCCTTTGCCTCTCTCTCTCTCTCTCTCTCTCTCTACTCAGGTTAATCCAAACAGCATCGCAGCTAAAAACGGACGAATCCGAGAGGGCGACCGAATCTTACAGGTACTCAAACATGTTTTTTATGTCTCGAGCATGAACTGTAACTCAGCCCAAGTAAAAGTAACTTTACCCTAAAGTATAAATAAATGTACAGTTACTGCCGCTGGCACATTTCTTTTTTTGGTTGCACCTTTTTTCCTAAAGAAAACATGAATGAAGTCTCACTGAGGTTGAACTCTTCGTCACTCGGTGACTCTTCCTGAAGCTCCAGACAAACGGTCACAGTTCGTTCAGACGAGTGATGAAGAGAAATATCTCCGTACTCATGTGTGATCACTGTCGACCTTCAGGTCGGTTAAACGCTTCTCCTGAAAACACAAACGCGTCCTCTGACGGGTCGACTGACGCTGTCAGCCTTTAAAATAGATTCAAATCAAACTATGTAAATTTATACCTGAAACCCTCGGGACGGCCTCGTCCAATCAGAGCGAGCCGTCAGCAGCCCGGTTACTGCTGCCCTAAAAATAGACGAGAGAGATGGAGGTGGTGGTGGGGGGAGGGGGGGGGGGGGGGGGGGGGGGGGGGGGGGTCACCACTCAGCTGTTTGTCACAGACGACTCATAAAACTGTCACTTCGAAAATAATCTGGTTTTCATGAAAACATACAGATGTTCCTCAAGGACGGTTCCTGCTCGTACTTTTTACTAATTTAGAGAATTTAAATCTGATGAGAAGTGAAACCACAAAGTTTCAGTGAAGCTGCTCATTCACCCGTCGGTCGCCGCAGGAGGAAAGTTTGTTTGCTCTCACGAAGTTTCTAAAATCATTGGTCTCAGGAATCGGATCAGAACTTGGCTCAAATCGTTCAGCGAGTTTCCAGATGATCACAAAACACAAAAACACTGAACAGACTTCTACGTTTTCTAGGTTTGTTAAGATTTTGAAGATTCGTCAACATGTGACACATTAAAGTTAAAGTTAAAGTTTTGACTTCAGTGATGGAGCTGCTGTGTTCATTCAGGAAAGTTAGCGTTTGACACAAAGTAAAACTGAGCGAAGACACATGAGACGTCAACCTGCTGCGTAAAGTTTGTGTTGTGTTGGAACAGTGGACGTCCGCGTCTCTGTCCAGATTAAACTGCTTCATGTTGAAGTTTTAAATCTCAACATGTTTCTATCTTCGGGGACAAATCGTACAAAAACATTAATAATATACCATTTTTATTTTTCTGACACAACTTACTTATAAGTACTTAAAACTATTTGTAGATTAAAGAAACTGCAGCAAGTTATCGTTATTAATTCAAATGAAATGTATGAAATAAAACACACACACACACACACACACACACACTCTGACTGGGGAAAGGTAAAGTTGCAGATGTGATAAGAATAGACCAGCAGCGACGGGCATCGCCATGGTTACCTGGCAGCAGCTCGACCTATGGCGTCTGCACCAGTTCCCATGACACCCGTCACCACATGGATTAAGGTCCGTGTGGTGTCTCCCTGTGCGTTCGGGGGGGGACGTACAATATGGACAAACACAAACCGGACACACGTGTGACAGGGTTCATACATGTTCCGGTTGGTGGAGGAGCAAACACACGGAGGAGATTGTGTTTATGTGAATGTAACTGAGACACGATGTCGTTATCGTCTCCTCCAGATTAACGGAGTCGATATTCAGAACAGAGAAGAAGCGGTGGCCATTTTGACCCGAGAGGACAGCATCAACTTCTCCCTGCTGCTGGCCAGGCCCGACATAGAGGTGACACGACACGAGACACAACACAACAAGACACTAAACAACGACACACACGACACAACAAGACACGACACAATGGGTCAAAACACAACATGATGCAACGAGACACAACAAACCATAACAACTCCCGGTTCTACCTCAGTGTTCATGTAAGTGCAGAGAACCAGGAGACGTTTGTTCTGTGACCTTCATCTCCATCCTCTTCCTCATTTTCTGGTCCAGAAACAGTTGTCTCATCCACAACCTCAGGTTTGACGTGTCTCCACTGTTTCACGTCTCAGTCTCCGCAGCCTAGTTCAATGACCTACTTTCTGCTGCTGCTGCAGGAGGCCGAGCGGAGAGCGTTCACAGTGTGGTCACAGTCTCACAGCAGGGACGTCACATGTAGAAAGTACTGTGAGGCTGGAAACATTAACCAGGTTCCTGCACTCCGGCCGTCACAGCTGGATAATTACACCGGCGTCCTGTCGGGAGTCAAACTGACGCACCTACAACCAGGGCGGGACAATTTCACGCTGTCCTCGCTACACCTGGCGTTCTATGGGTCGGGAAAAACATCTAAGAGCAGCGGAGAAATCTGAGAGCGCACGTTTCAAGTGCACGGAAGCAGCTTGAGCTCGAGGAGCTGAAGCTGGAGCTCAGTTTGAAATCTCAGTTCAGGGATTCACTCCGTTCCATTCTAGTTTAACATTATTAAAACCTAGTTTCATGTTCACGATGGGCTTTTCCCTGAATGTCATAAACACACACACACACACACACACACACACACACACACACACACACACACACACACACACACAACCATGATAAATGTGTGCAGCGTGACAGCAGGTCCCAGTGTGAGTCCACATGTGCTGACGGAGGAGGAACTGCAGGACGGTATATTCATACATGTCGGTTAAAACACACGTCATACATATTCATCGACTGTGTGTGTGTGTGTGTGTGTGTGTGTGTGTGTGTGTGTGTGTGTGTGAGCCGTCACTCACTCAGTACTTAGAGAACTCTGACACTAGATCTGAGAAGTGACGGATGTTTAATCAATGAAGCAAATAATAAATTAGGACGTGATGCGAAACAGGAGAAAACGAGACAGAGCAGAAATATTCAGAAGAGTGATCTTTAAAATGAATTCAGATACAACATGTACAATATCACAAAATATTCAATCTTACCATATTTATATGAGATGAAGTTCAGGCGACTTGATGAAATAATGAAATAGAAACGATTGAAGCTTTAAATAAAAGAACGTCTCAGCCGGTGACGGGTTATTAAGGATAATCACTGATCCCTGAGTAATCCTAATATTATAACTTTTTCAATG